TTTTTAATAGTTCTGGCGTGAAAAAAAAAAACGAAAGGCTGGTAAAACGTTCATTCATTTTCAAAAAAAAAAAATGCAATGCAACGTAGCTGCGGGCGAGCTCGGCAGCCCATTACTTGCGTACGCTAGTAATTGCGGGCTGGGCTGTCTGCTGCATTCCGTAATGACCCCGCATGCATGGCCTGCGAACAGAGATGCACTAGGCCGAATACGTATGGGCCGAACAGAGATACCATGGCTCTTGCATTTGCTGTTTTTCATTGGAAAAAGTCCCATTACCTCTCTCAACTTTCGCGAAAGTCCGTTTTTTCTCTCTGAACTTCAAAACCGGGCAAAACACCTTCCTCAATTTTTAAAACCGTTCATTTTACCTCCCTGGCCTTATTATAAGCAGTTTTGAAGGCGGTTTTGTCTTTTTCTTTTTATTTATTTCAATTGAATCTTTAAAAAATCATAGTAAATCATAGAAAAATCATAAAATAGAAAATCTAATTTTGTTGGACTCCACATGAGTAGATCTATACAGTGAACATATAATATGATATGCTTTAGTACAAAGTTTTTGCTGTGGCTTTAAATCTATGCTTTTATGTAATTAATTGGAATAATTCAAATCTGCAGTTTTTATGGTCCAATTATGATGAAATTTTTATGGTGAGCTCATTATTATATGATTGAACTGTAGTAAAAATTTCATACTTATTCGATCATGTATAGCTTAGTTATAGATTTATTTATATTTAATAAGCATAAACCTTAATAAAATCTATAACTAAGATATACATAATCCAATGAGTATGAAATTTTTACTACAGTTTAAACATACAATAATTAGCCCACCATAAAAATTTTACCATAATTAGACCATAGAAACTGTGGCTATGAATTATTCCATTTAATTACTGAAAAGCATAAATTTAAAGCCACAGCAAAAACTTTGTACTAAATCATACCATATTATATGTTTACTGTGTAAGTCTGCTCATGTGGAGTCCAACAAAATTAGATTTTTTATTTTATGATTTTTCTATAATTTACTATGATTTTTCAAATATTTAGCCAAAATAAATAAAAAAGAAAAAGACAAAACCGCCTTCAAAACCGCTTATAACAGGGCCAGGGAGGTAAGATGAATGGTTTTAAAAGTTAAGAGAGATGTTTTGTCCAGTTTTGGAGTTTTAGGAGAAAAAAACGGACTTCACAAAAGTTGAATGAGGTAATATGGACTTTTTCCTTTTTTTATCAAGATGGAAACAAGCAGAGAAGAAGGGCAGCTGAGCAAGCCCGTAAATGCCTTACGTTTACTTCAAACTCTCTTTCATTTTTCTTCAAAAATATAAGATTTTAGAATGTGCGTGTATAGCTTAGTGGTAGGAGGTCGACTTCACATAAAAGCCGCTCCTTTTACTATTTATTAATAGTTAAGGTTTATGGTTTTTTGTTGACATTATTGTTGAGACTTCTTTTTAACGATGAAATATGAAATATTTCGCGGTAGACTTTTTCCTAGGGTCAAGTCTCTCTTTTTTTTTCCGAACCAGGACCAAAGTCATGCTAGAACAGAGGGTTTGGCTTATTTGGCCTAAGTGAAGATCATGCCTTTTTAAAAGCACAAGCACCGAGTAGTCAAATATCGAAATTGCTCGGTTGCTTCGCCCCTTTCTCGTCTGTGCTAGCGAAGGAAATTCTTGCTTTCACGGTAACAAAGCAATTGACGAGTGATCCAAACACCGTTCACTGTTCTAGCTTCTTGTCGGGCTAGGCAAGGCAAGGGCCGGCACCGGCAAGGATCCAAGCACACATGTTCTTACCTTACCGGGCCATGCAAAGGATCCACAAAATATCCAAATGTTCTTGAAGTCACCTTGCCGAGCACACCGTGTAGCTTTAAAATAATAATTGACGGAAAATGTTATGCAAGCATCGGTGCAAACCTGGGTGGACAGGCTTTATCACAAAGTAAGTTAACTGAGATAAACTTTTTTCTATGTTTTATGTTTTCTCTTTTGTTATTCCGTTTTTGGGGCTTAAATAAAAGTGTGTTTTTTGTGAGGAAAGAAAATTGTATTTTTGGAGATTTCATTTCACCTCATAAACACAAGATTAACCAACGTCCATTTATTAATGCACCAGGATGACGCCTCCTATGGCTATCCTAATCATCTTCAGTACCGTCGGACGCGGTTCCCAATCCTGTCTCCCTCCTACGCTGTTAGCGGACTAACCTTCAAAAAGAAGAATTCTTCACTCGAGCTATGGTGTCCTCCTCAGTTGCTCCAAGCCCTTCACCGCATCGCACCTCCGGCCGACCCCATCGCCGCAAGGTCCCGCAGCAGGGTACTCTTTCTTCCCCGCTCCCTCCCCAGCATGAAACACCTGCTCCAACGTCTCTCCCGCGTGGCCGGCCCGCCCGTACCGTGCCCCCATCCACCTCGTTCGTCGTGGAAGTGGAGGCTTGTGCCTGCACCTGTGCCCCCATCCACCTCGCATCGCGTGGTAGGAAGGGAAGGGCTGCGCCACCGCAGTTCCCCACCAGGTAGGACGTGGTTGCCGGTAATGCCGTGTTTTTTCAAGTGTTTTATGGTATTTCAGTCATGTGGCAAGCTTATATTTCAAGTGTTTCAATTATTTTAGATGTATGTTTCAAGTGTTTCATACGGATATTGCAAAAGTAGACCAGGGTACTGCACATATTGTAATTGCTATACACGTATGTTTCAAATGTTTCATCTGTTTCAAATGAATGTTGCAAGTGTTTTATCTGAATGTTGCAAAAGTGGATCTGGATATTGTATATACATGTATGTTGCAAACATATGTTTCAAGTGTTTTCAGGTGTTTCGTACGCATGTTTGCAAGTGTTTCATCCGGATGTTGCATATGTTTGTAATGGTTTTCAAATATTTTCAGACGTTTTCGCAAGTGTTTCAGATGCTTGTTTCAAGTGTTTCAACTGTGTTTTTTTATACTCCCTTTGTTTCAAATTATAAGTGGCTTTGACTTTTTTTGTTTATCTATTTTGCTAGACATATTATTATATCTGGATGCATGGTAAAATGGATGTATGAAAAAGTCAAAGTTTTAAAAGTATATTGGGGTGTTGCACGTGGGATGCGTGTGGAAAGCGGCCAATGGCACGGGCGACGTCCGGGACGGCGCGGGCTCACTGCTGGTGCGCTCGCTTGCTTGCTGTGCGGGCAACGTACTGACGCTAGTGTCAAGATAGGACGTACGAGCACCAGCAAGTCTCAATTATCATAGGTACTATTTGCTTTGCTGAAAAATCATGACTGAAAGTACTATTCACTGATTTATTGATAGAGAGAAACAATGTTCGTTTGTTGAAATAGCACGGCTCATAAGATAAGCGAACAGGGCCTATAGATAGTGGTAGGGATACTAAGGCCCTGTTTGGTTGAGCTGTGGCTGTGGGAAAAAGCTGCTGTGGGCTGTGAGCTGTGAAAAAGCTGCTATGGGCTGTGAGCTATAGAAAAGCTGAAAGTTGTTTGGTTAAACAAGTATAAAATATACCTTTTATCTTTATCTCTCTTGAAACAACTATGGAAGAACTTTTTATTCCACCAATTTCGAAAAGCAGAAAGCCAAAAGCCAAAAGCAGGGTCAACCCAGCTTTCAAAAATGAACTACGGAAAAGCAGCTGCTTCTGAAAAAGCACCCTCCAAAAGTAGCCCCTTTGGTTGAGCTTTTGACTTTTGGAGCCAAAAGCCAAAATCAAAAGACCAACCAAACAGAGCATAACAAATTTACCTATAAATCCACAAGTAGATTTAATTTTTAAAGAGTTACACACAGTAATAAAAAAAGCCTAGGCTTATTTATTTATGGGTCTGCGGGTAAACTCGCTCGCAAGTCCGCATGCCATCCATATCCATCCATCCAGCATCTGCATAGACGATAGATAGTTTGTTCGATGATTGATTTTAGCCAACCTAAACTAATCAACTAATAATGTTTTTTTAAAAAAAAACAAAAACAGCTTAAAGCAGTACCAGCACCGGCCAGCGACCAGGCCAAGACGCCTTAGTATCACTATCAGTCTATCACCACCGTCTGTGCCGGCAAAAAAAGGCGCAACGAGAAGGACATCGGCCGGCCGGCGACGACACCAACGCTCTGACATGTGGATTGAGGCTACTCATTACCGCGGGCCCGGCGCCCGCACGCCACCACTGGGCTGACGCTGGGTAGGGGCGGTCCACCAAGACCGTGATTACGCGACGGCAATGGTGGCGAGGCGGCCATTCCAATTTCCAGGCAAAGCGGTGGCCGCGCTTCCTTCCTCAGTCCTCACTCGGCCCCTTCTGGCCTTCCAGCCTCGCCAAATCTGCCGATCTGCGCAGCGATCTCCCCCTGCGTGCGCACGAGGTTAGCTTCCTCTTCCGCTTCCTAAGTTCCGGCAGATTCGTTCATCGTTTTTTTATTCAATGTCTGCGCTCAAAATGTGCCTGGAATGAGAGGGGTGTGAGGCTGGGAGCTGCTTTATCTGTGGCTTGTAGCGACTCGGGAGGTTTTCTGGTGTGCATCAGAGGAATTGGGGCATAGATCGCTGGAAGAGATCCGTCTGTTTTTTTTTCCTTACAGGAAGAGATTAATCTATTTTTTTATAGGAGATGAATCTGTATGTTAGCGTAGGATAATCATGTTTAGTGAAAGGACCCCGGATTGGAGGATTGGAAAAGGGTCTTGATCTACAGTTGTAGCTTCAGAGGGGGTTGCAGTTGTGACCATGTAGCTCATCAGTTGTGCGCTCATAGTTTGAAATTATGTTCTTGTAGTTGTAGAACAAATGAACAATGCTTATGAGTTTTGAGGAGTCCATGTGTAAGTTGACAAAATTTGCTAGGGAGAGGAACTGCAGGTGATCTGTTCCGCCATTCTGTGTTCCGCAGTTCTGAGTACAGTGTGATTGCAAGTGGTGCATTTACATGGAACCTGATCAAGCAATATTCTGTGAGCTTCCTTTTTAGGTGCTTGCGACGATGTATCTGCTAGGCAACAAAACTGGAAAGAAGAAAGTGTGTGTCGGTTATATGAATGCACCTGTACCGTATGCCATTGAAGAGAATTACGGTGGGTGCTTCTTTGATGATGACGACGATCTTGCCCAAGTTCTTCAAGATCAGGTTGGGTACTGTTTCCTATGGTCTACTTTAATTGGTTGGGCAATGACCATGTGTTCACCATATGTGCACTTCTGATATGGGAAGACTAATGAAACGTAGTCAAAATTGTTAATCAATGTTTTTTTTTTCTGAGGAGTTGATCCTAAGCACTGGTTATATTGGTAGGGTATTGAGTCCTAGATCCATAATGGGCTGGTTGAAAAGTTATAAAATAATTATTACTATTTTGCTGATAATATTCATTCACACAGGTTTGTCATGTGTAAGATAGACGATTCATAAATTTCTGTTTCACTAGGGCGGTATGCTTGGAAATTTGAGTTCTAAGCTCAAAATTAGAATCTACAGAATACCATTTTCTTGAAATTCGTGACAGTGTATTCTTACCTTTTGCTATGTGCTGCTTATGACCATTGCTATCCTTTGTACTGCAACCGTTCAGCATCATTTTGAAAAATATGGCCTTAAATTAACTTGCCTGTTCATCCAACCTGTTCAGGAAATATTGTATCAATTAATTCAAGGAAGTAATGGTAGCAGTTCATATGGAACTCATTCGACTCCAAGTTGTAGCTATGGCCATAATCGGACATCAAATGAACAAAAATCATCCGGAGATGTAAACTATGAGTTGCAACTAGCAGTTGATGAAGCTTTAGCTAGAGAGTTGCAAGAAATGGAGGGCAAACTAGCCAACACTTCACTTAATGACAATAATGGTTAGTTGCATACTCTATATTCGTTGGAGTCAATTTGTTTCCCAGATTAAGTGCTAATCTGTTGTCTCAAATTACCTGTACAGGAAGAAAGCCTACATCATCTTCAGCTTTTGATAGAGGCAATAATTCTGCAAGTAGACCTCCTCAGGTATACAATTCTGGCAAGTATTTTGGACAATCAATACACACTTCCATTTATTTCCAATTACCAATGTACAGGTAGTGGAGGAGGATGGGATTGATCCAGATAATATGACTTATGAGGTGTGTTTGTTTTGTCTCCTCCCCTCTCTTTTTTGTTTGTTGCTATGCTTCTATAAGTGGCATGTGCCAGCTAGCTTTTGGTTCTAATAACCAATACGTTTTGCTAGGAGCATATTCTATTTTATTGCCACCTTGTGGCTATCGGTATTATAGAGATATATGTTGCCGAGTATTAAAGAAATGGGATTTTCTTTTCATTTATTTCATTTGATTTCAGGAACTGCAACAGTTAGGGGAAGCCATTGGTACCGAAAGCAAAGGGCTGCCTGAAAGTGTCATAGCACTCTTGCCAACTTCAACTTACAAAATTGGGATATTCTCAAGAAGGGAAAAACATGACGAGTACGTTTTTTAGCTGATTAGGATATTGAATTTTCCTTTTTCTTGCTCAGCATTTTGTATGTTTGGAAGTGCAGTGACAATACTGATTAATTATAAGATTTGAAGAATATGTTTTCTAGTTGTTTGTTGCATCCTATGACACTGCTACCAGGTGTTTATCTATGTTTGTACTGTATTAACTTATGCTGTTTAAGTAACAAACCATTTTGCCACTCACTGTTTTGTACTTTTGCAGATGTGTGATCTGCTGTATGGCATACAAGAACCGAGATAGGCTTACTAAATTGCCCTGTGGACATCAGTACCATCAGGCTTGTGTCGCTAAATGGTTACAGATCAATAAGGTAAGTTACCTAGACACCTAATCTTCAGCTTTTTAGTATGTCTCTCTCCGTTCCAAACTATAGGTTGTTTTGGCTTCTCTAGATACATAGCGTATATCTAAATGCATAACAAAAGCTATGTATCTAGAACAACCAAAATAACCTATAATTTGGGATGAAGGGAGTAGTACATAGGTTGGTGGTACAACTTCCATCCTTCTAGGAATTGTTGTAGTTCATGTGGTTCCTGATCAGTTTACTTGTTGGAATTATTTATTAGGATGAGTTCAAATTTGGTGCCCAGGGGGGCTGGTGCCCTCGTTGGCTAAAATACTATGTTGCAATGTTTCAAAACACATCACAAAAATCATGTATGTAGTACACATAAAGTTAAAGTATAGCCGCAACAATTCAGTTTGAAATTCATCCTAGATGTCAAGAAACAAAATAGACAAGCAGTCAACCTGGCACTGTTCATCACGTGCTGACAGCGACACTTTTGTTTTTTTAATCTCAACATCAAAGATGAATTTTAAACTAGTAAATTGTTGCGGCAACACTTAACTTTAGGTGTATTACATAAATGATTTTTGAAACATTGCAGCATGGCATTTTAGCTAACAAGGGCACCATATAATTTTCCTATTAGGATTTAGGAGTATGAAAGCTATCGTGCCTCGTAACATGTCATCGTTTTTGTATTGCAGATGAAATTTCCTTGCCAACTATAGTATATATCTTGAGCAATGACCCGAGGTTAAACATGATGTAGAAATCCTACAAATTACACCTTCGTTTCACAGTATTTGAACAGTCCGCATACCTAAGACTAAGAGGCACAATAGCCAAGTAGTCTTTTTTACAGAATCAGATTTTCATGAGGGTAGGTGTGCATGCGTACATTCATAGGGTTGAGTGTCGCAACTATATTAAGCGTTCTTTATGGCTATATGGCTGGTCATTTGGTAAATTTTTCAATTGAAACTCAGCACCTCAAACCTCTGGCATTTTCAGACCAAATGTTTCTGCTTCTGCATTTTCAAATTTGCAACCATGTTAGTATTTTTTCACTTCTTATCCTGAGAAAGCATGGTCTCTGCTAAGCCTTTAGTGGCATGCATGATGCTGCAGGTATGCCCTGTTTGCAGTAAGGAGGTTTTCAGCTAGTGAAATCAAACAGTGCAGATTCGTCTGATGGCGAGCTCCAGAAACTGTCTGAAGTACTGCGTAGATGTACATTATTTGTATAAGCATGCTGCACTGTTGCTGACTAGTAATGCACTAATGCACCGCATTGCTCAAGGATCATAGCACGACCAAATTAGTGATATCTCGAGCAAATGCAATAAGATCTCTGCTTTTGAACTTCGGGACATTCAGACTTGGTGCCACACACTAGTCCTTTTTATCATCTCCTATATCAGGTACACTGGTCGTTCATTTCAGTACTTGGCCCCAGTTCATTCAGCATACTGTCTGGAATGTTGCAACTTGTATTAAAACAGTGACAAATATTGGAAATTTAGGCACTGATGGTTTTTAAAAAGTAGCAGCCATTGTGTTTAGCAAATGGTCAGAATGTTGGAATGTTCTGATTTCCTCACAGCCAACCATTTTGGACTACGTTTTGCAGCAGCAAATTATCTTCTTCAGTAAGATCGGTCGTTCCACAATAGGACGATTTCAGGTTCATGGATGGAATTCAAACTTATGGGTATGATTTGAAAATGATGGTATTCTATGAGCAAGCAGCCCATGCATGGACAAACTTGCGTGTTTCTACGCTACGTTACAAGGCAATGCTTATAATACTTCAGGAGACAGAAAGCACGCGACGAAACCACGCGCGTCACGCTCATCTGAAAGTTGATGCAACGAACCTAATGACGTAACTGACGCCTTACCATGCACAACAGAAATTAAGCCAAGGACGATTGTACGAAGCTTATTGTAGCTAGCTTTGATTGGTCAGTTTATTGAGAATACTGACGCTGCTCTTGACAAACTGTCATGGGGATTGCTAGATTGTAGTAGATAGACTATTGAGACATGTATCACAATGACGAAAGCGGTCATTGTCCAAGTGTGGCCCTCAGATCCTGCTAATTTCATCATTCATATGCAGCCAATATAGCTACTAATAGAGTAAAATGCACCTAGGGTCCTCAAACTTTTAGAGCAATCCCATATAGGTCATCAAACTAAAAAAACGACCATTTAGGTCCCTAATCTACTGCAGTGGCACACTAAGTGTCCAAAACACGTCACACCAGCACCAGCATCTGACATGGCATGCCACATAGGCACCTACTGGATGTCGTGGCCACGCCATAGTGGCAGGTGCTGGGCATGCAGCATGCTGCCGGGTTCGGGCACGGAGCAGGGAGGTCGCCGGTGGCTACTCTGGCCGTGGCATGCTGTACATGTAGTGCTCCGGCACTGCGGGCCTTTGTTGCTTGCCTCAAGGCCATCAAGTACATCGACGGAAACAGCTTTGCGGTGTCGCGGGGACGGCGCGCCGTGGAGCTGTTGGCGCACGGAGCTGGAGGAGGACGCCGACGCCGAGGCAGAAGCTCGTGATGGAGGACGCGCGACGCCGCGATTGGAGATGTACCCGTCGCCGGTAGTGGAGCAGAAGATGCAAGGCGAAGACAAAGGTCGTACGTGTGTGTGGAGGACCGGAGGTAGGCGTATGGCTGCTGTACGCGCACATGGTGCAAACCGGACGTGGCTGCTGCACGCGCGCATGGTGCATGCATGGTGCTCCATGGCGGCGCGTTCTTCGTTGCTGGCGACGAGAGCACTCGCGTAGCACGGCTACGGCGGAGCGACAACGAGGCGCGTCCGCGTGCACGCTAGCGTGGCGCGGTGAGGTCATGGCGGCGGCATGCCGCGTTCCAGCATCGTCGCGGCGTCGCTGCCCTAACGTCCCATCGCGGAAGCTTCTACAGCCTAGGGTGACCCCGAATCGAGAGAGAGAGGCAGGGCAGAGCGAGATCGAGGGAGGACGGCCACGCGCGAGAACGCATCCGACGGCCATGGCGGCTGTCGCGTAGAGATTTGACCCGAGGGGCATCTACCTTGGATAAGCAGCGGCGCAATCTGGTGGAGAGGGTGGAGAAGACCTTGGCGCAACTGGAGGGGAGGGGAATCGGACAATGGCGAGACGACGGTGGCGAATTTGGCGGGTGGAACTCGTCGGCGTCAATGGCGGGGATCTAGAACAGGGCAGAGAGGAAGAGCAGAGTAGAGCAGCGCAGCGCTGCTCCTCATTCTTGCCCGCACTCGGGCGAGGTGGCAAGCCACGCGCACGCTGCCGCAAGCGAGAGCCGACGCTCTGCCTCGCGCCCAGGCCGTCGTGAGCGAGCGCCGCTACGCCCCACGCGCACGCCGCCACGGCCACGCACTCGGACATCGCTGCCCCGTCGCGCACGGCCATTGCTACCATACCACCGCCTCCACTTGGCTGTGCAGATGCTCTGCGCCGCCGTCGCTCACATGCGCAGGCGCGGGCGGGCCTCTGCCATCCATCAATTGCGTTGCCACCACGTAGCCACCGTCCGCCGCCTCTGCTGCCGCCATACGCCCGCGTCGCCACGCCACAGACCCACTCCCACAGGTACACCCAGGCCCGGGCCAGCTCATCGGCCATGCCACACCACCGACCCGCTCCTATGGCCGGAGTAGTCGTCGACGACCTCCCTGTTTTGTGCCCGAACCGCAGCAGCGCGCTGCAAGCTCACCACCTGGCACCGTGGCATGGGCACAACATCTAGGTGCCACTGTGGTATGGCCACATCAGATGTTGGCACCGCGTGGCGGATTTTGGAATGTTGGTGTGCGACAGGAGAAGATTAGGGACTGAGATGGTCGCTTTTTTAGTTCGAGGACCCAGATGGGAACGCCTGAAAAGTTTGAGGACCAGGGTGCATTTTACTCCTACTAATATAGCTACTATTGTTTCTAAGGAATGCAGTAGTAGGTGACGTATGGAAGTTTTCAAATTTATATAAGTGGTGTCTGATAGCAAGATCTTGTGAAAATTAGGTTTGTATAACAAACTAGACTAAGAGGTGATTCAAGATCCAAATCCAAATGGAGAAGCCCAATTAGAAATCTAGAGATAAAAAGAAATCCAACTTTCAATCATGCAAACCCAATGCAAAATGACTATATCTAATCCAATCTAATTCAGCTCCTTTTAAGTTCAAAATACATCCAAGATGATTCAATAATAACAAACGAAAATAGCTATGTGTGGGACCAGGTCAAAAGTTGGACTCTAAAATTAAAATCTTGTGCTCATACTTTTTTTTGTGAAATTGACTAAAATATGTCGTGAATGACTTGGTATGATAGTTAACTATTTTTTTTTTGGAAAAGGTATGATAGTAAGCTATTTGTGCATACTAGTACGACTAGATCTATACGTGGGATGTAGGTCAAATGTCAAAAGCTAGACCCTAGGATTATACATTCAAGTTCACACATTTAGATTTTAATGAAATTGTTTGGCATGACTTGGTATATCAGTTAGGCACTTTATGCAGATTAGTGTTGAACTAAATCATTAATTCATAAATTAAAATCTAGCGAACTAACTAAAATTTGTTGGAGACAACTCGATGAGACAATGATCGACTTTATTCTGATTAGTAATGATCATATCAACATCTGAATCCCATATCAAATGGTGGACATTCAATTAAAATAGATAACCGACACATATTAGACAATAACCTCGTACTATTATCCATGGGTAATTCAATATAGAGTTCAGTAATATCGAAAGATCCAAATTTGCATGGTTAAGTAATCCAATTAAATAAATCGAAAGAGTACCAAACCCCACTAACCCCAATAAATCCATGGACAATCCACACCCATTCCCACCTCTATGAATGTGTTTGGACTAAGGGTTGGATTGAAGTAGGTCGGGACATATAGGACTCAGATTCCCTAGTGTTTGGTTATAGGCTCAAGTGGGCTAGATCCATCCCAATAGAGAATATACTCTCTCTCCTGTAATATAGTGCATTCTAACATTCAAAATTTATTCTCAAATATAATACATTCTAGAGGACAGAAACCAATTTTGTATTAATTACTTTCCATCTATCAATTAATCACTATTAATCATGTTGATGATAGCGTCTAATTAGAAAATAAAACAAGGGCACATGCGTCTTCTATGTTCTCTTTTATTTTGTCTTAAAATTGCCAGAATGCACTATGTAAGAAAAATGGATCCTAGGCCTATTTACTTTAGATTTTGGTGTTTGATGACCAACACAACCAAATTGGACTAATGAATTTGCAAGTGATTGTTTCGTAGTTCAATAGGATGCAAGACATGATTTGGACGAATGCGACGTGATGATCCGATGATCAACACCATAAGCAAGACCTTATAAGCACAAGAGAAGACCCAAGATATCAAGCAAAGTCCAAACATGAAGATAGGAACCAAGCCGTACGCAAGATCGCAAAGAAACGAGCTCACAGAAGTGACCGGACGTTGGACCGGACGCTGGTAGCACATTGACCGGACGCCTCGATCAAGAGGCTCGGCAGCAGCAGTGACCGAACGCTGGCGGCAGATCGACCGGACGTAGGACAACAGAGTCCGGTCGAGTACAGAGAGATTCCAGAGCGGCGAAAATGCGACCGGACACGTTCGGTGGCATGTGATCGGACGCTGGCAGTGTCCGATCAGTTGATCGCGGCTCCAACGGTCGGGACGACCGGACGCGTCCGGTCAGGACGTGATCAACGTCCAGTCAGTAGCAGAAAAGCAGGATTTCGTTCCAACGGCTATTTTCTCAGTGTGGCTTATAAATAGACCCCCAACCGGCCATTTGAGTAGTGTGGAGCTGAGAAAACATATATAGAGTGTTGATACACCATTTTAGTGATCTCCACTTCATAGTGCTTAATGTTTTATCAGGTGATTAGCGTAGGTGCTTTGCGAAGTGTTTAGGTTGATTAGACCACCGCTTATGCGCTTGCTCTATGTTTAGGCCTAGTGTTTAGTGAGGTTTGCATACCTCTTACCACTCGGTGCTTGCGTGCACCATTGTTGTACATCGGAGGGGCTTGTAGTCTTACGAGATCACACCAACCACGTTTGTGGTGTGGCCGCCACCGTGTACCGGAGGGAACAAGGC